GCGCACGTGATGTTACCATCTCGAGAGATACAAGAATGCAAAATATTGCTAAGCCCTCCATAAGCCTGCGGTTTTTTGAACCGCCAAACCTGCTGCTTGATTGCGCGAGACGACACACAATTTTTTATATTGGGGGCCAGATATATATTGGATGGTGTAAACAATAAACGGTGTATGAAAGTGAGGTTGCGCGACAACCAGTTGCGTGTTTTCGATGCAGAGGATAGTTTCGTCATTGACATTGTCCTGAAATCGATTGACGACTTATTTATGAGCCTTGTAAATTCGGATTACCGGAGGCGAAGTAGACAGTTCTCCCAAAGATATATGTATTTTTGCGCAGAAGTTCTTATCACCGTGGTTTCTCATTTTTCATTCTGTTCTTAATCATGAAAGTATAGCTTTCACGACAATTCGTAAGTTCGATTTCCTAACCCGTCAACTCCTACTGACAGTCACCTTTTCAATCGTTTATTTTTTTTCCTGTTTTCCCATTAACCACTATGTAATTATCGACCCCCAACTACTAAATTTAATTCTCGCATTCAATTGGGAATGAAAGGAATTAATTTAGGATGGTATCGTTGCATATCATGATAGTCCGATCCCTCCAGTGCCAATTTTCGTGGTTTAGCGTTTTCATTTCGTGATACCCTGAATCGATGCAGAGCAGTTTTCCCACCAAAACATAAATGCTGCTCTATTTTCGTGATAGAATCTAGAGCCGCGGAAGGTAAGTGCCTTATTTGTGTGAGATGGCTGTTCTTAGAGTGAAGTAGTCTCGACGAGATTCTAATCCAAGTTCTCACTATGCATCTGTGTGATTGATCTAGCTCAGAGTTTGAAGCGCTCTATGATCGTTATCTATTTTATAACTGCCATTTGTTTTCGTGAAAAACCGTACGATCAATCTCGTAATTGATCCTGTCAACAAGTTTTGCTTTACCTTGTCGTGTAAAACTTTTTCATCTGTTTCACTGCTTCTCTAATCTAGATATCCAAAAACGTGAACGAGCTATATCAACGATTGATGTCAGGCTATCGGTTAGACGTGAATTTGCCTGAATCGTCCACGATAGACTTGCAGGTTCTCAAGGACGTGTACATTCGTCTAGTCAACCAGTATCCAGGAGATTGTGGTTGTTTCAGTCTATTCTTTCTGAATCTTGTTCGGCTTGAACCTGGGCAATCTGTTTTCCTTGAGGTAATCTTATTAACTCGCGTAGATCTGCCATGCATGACATGTGCATATTTTTGCCTTAAAAATAATATATGCAACTTTTCAGTGTTTTTATACGAAACTGACATTGTGTTGTGGGCATCCGTTTCCAGTGGTTTTTCTGCTTTTTTAATGACACATCGTAGTGTAATGAACAGCAGATGTGGTAAACCCCATAGTCACGAGGAAATGCTGTTCAATGATGGAAGCCGGTAACCTAAACCCAAGGACCTGGAGTTGCGAACCACGTAAAGCCTCGCTAGGTTGGGCATAGCATTAAACCGGACGACAAAAAAGCTGCCTACCGCCAAAGTAGGATGGCCCATAGGGTCCAAAGCACGCCAGTGACAGCAAACAAACTACTGATCCACCGCCCCACAGTCGTAGAGAGATCCTGGCTCGTAACAAAGTGTGGTTCGTTTCCATAGTTGTTGTCCAATAAGAGCGACAATCTTCTACGTATCCTCGACAGCGATAGCTGATAGTGATATAGTCAGTTTGATTCATCGCTGTGAAAAGCTAGGGGGTTTCTCGGTGAGGTAGTGTCTTTTCTTATGAGAGAGATTAGTGCTCGATAGAAACAATCCTTGGTCCGCACGGAAATGAAGTAGGTAATCTCCGTTGTCCATTCGATTGGCTTGGATTGCGTGAGCCCCGCCTAGGTACTTCTATGATTCCTTTAGATATCTGACCTGATAATTGAAGACTCCAGCTAATACTACGATGTCCGTTGTCCGAACACTTCGGAATAATCGAGAAAGATCCTTTTAGAATTCATCCTTGATTTCAGGAGTACTGCAATTTGTTGGTGTAAACAGCGATGCGATAAATAAGCGCAGATGCTTCGCTCTGTAGCTGTTGATCCGTACTGAACGTTAAAACGTACAGCGTACAGTGCTCTACTGATCGTAATCCAGTCAAGAAGTGATCGCTCAGTCTAAATTCAATTGTTTGGTAGATAATGAGAGACAAGAGTCTAATTTTTGAATTATGAAAAGAACAGTTGCCCCTGGGCGACCCGAACCTACACATGGACACCGCCTTTTTCCTGGATAAGCATCCTAAATTCTCGTTGTTGAATAATTGGTACACACTCGCCCTAAATCAACACATGCGGTACTGTTTGTTCACATTGATACCGTTGAATACTTTTTGGATGATTAAATACACTGAATCAGTCATCAGTTCAAACCAATCTCAGCGCACACCTGTTCCATCGCATCGATACCATGTTCCTTTCTATTGTGAGAATTATACTTGGTTGTGCCATTACCAGTTCAATACAACCATGTGCCATTCAGAACACACGACAATGGTACACGATAATTATTCGGTATCTCATTGTCAGTCGTCGTACATTGGGTGTGTTATACAGTATCAATCGTGCTAGTTTGATCATTCGTGCTACCTCCCGGAAGATCATCAGGCACTGGATTGTCGTTTCGCCTAATGATAAACAAAATAATAATTCTCGTTTTGTGATGCACCTAATCTGCAGTCCGTAGAGAGGAATGTGCGCAGTTGACAATGGATATCGTGACGTACCTGGTACATTGCCATTACTTGCACTTGCATACAAACATTTGACTTTCAAGAGATCCGCAGTTGGTGGAGCATCATAGCCATCCATTGTTTATTTCTGATATGTTATAACTACCCATTAGAAACACTCAGCAATAAAAGTCCAGTTACATTCGGTTTTCTTACATCATCGTCATCTATCACCTAATACAAAGAGAAAGCAAGCGGAAACTGGACATAATTTTGGTGCGAGAAAACAAGTTAGTTTTGAAAATTACACAATCGTGTGTTATGTTCTTTTCCTCAAATGTCTAGTAAAACCCACATACCAACAAGTAGAACATTTCGGCCGTCAGCTGACAGCCCTTGGTTTTCTCAATCTAGACCCCCTCCACACACATCTCACGCAATGTTCACTCGATTGACAACCTAAACTTCAGCTTTGGAAGCATCCTGCAGTCTACTTGCAGTCCAACAATACCATCTTTAGAGTTCTGTTTGTCTGTTCTAAGGTTGTTTTCTTATAACGAATACCATTTCTTCGACCAGTCTTTTTTGATTGGTTTGCCCTACCGCGCTGACTTTTATCCCGCCGCTTCGGTAGTCTTCTTTATGGTGTGCACGATTTCGTATATTTCTCAATGATAAACAGCTTTTGAACGTTTATAAATCACATGAAGCTCGCTACAGCATGTTTCTAATGGGAAATTCGCATGCGCAAGTCGCATGACAAGTCTTCACTTTCAACATTCGTCGCAGTGCACGAAACACGGATGATTTGTGACATTCGTCTACTTTCTATAAACCGTGAATCAATTCATCTGTGCTAAACCCTATGGGACTAGAAAAGCAACCACTTGTAAGCATATCCCACAATGAAACTTCGATTTTGAAGATTAATACAAGAATCCCACTGTTCACAATGTATCCATATCACAGAGGAGTTCCCAACCTCAAATTAGAAACTTTGGTCGGACAATATGACCAGCATAGTGTCAGTTCAGCTGAGAGGGAGCATTCATGCCTTTGTGCTCTTTCATCTATTGGAGTTGTGTTCAGTCGTCGTCCAACCGATAACTTTAATTGATAATCTCACATCTTGAGGAAGTCTGTTGAGCACCATACAAAGACACTGAAGCCCGTTTTATTTGAGCATGGAATTGAAACTACTGCCTGAATGTTGCTGTTCCGGGTCGTCATCATCATCATCGTACAGCGAAATACAGGGAAACGAACTTCACTGATTGCTGTCAAACTCGCAATACGTATGCATTGGGGTTTGATGGACGGGTACTGCCAGGATGTCCAGCCACCAAGCAGGAGAACGATTAGGGTTCTCAGCCAAAGCCTTTAGTTATGACAAGGACTTAACCGCAAGGCAGCGGGTGAAGCGAATTGGAGGCTCATTTACTTGGATCAATTACTCCTTCACCATTTTTACCGACTGAAAGGCAATTTCGAACACCCAGGACCTCAGGTTTGCACACCGCCCGGGACACAAGCATAGCACGTATCGCTGATGAATCCCAGCCCAGACGAAACAATCTTCCAGTGCTCTTTTCCAGCCATCACAAATAAAACTCCATCTCATCTGAAACTGCATCGATATGCTGGAACCAACGAACGCTCACGACGAAAACGACACCCACACCCACCCTGGGGATTGTGAATTGGTATGGACACTAAGAAAAACAATGTTCATTTTTCCCTTAGCTGTTTGGAATACGACTCCTTGTTTAGATTTAAAGTTTTAAGATAGTAATTTGAGTGCTTGAGGCTTAGCTGACAAAGTAGCATCAACAATATTGCAAAATGTCTCCACTACCTCAAGTTTCCGTTAGACCTATTGATCTCCGGTTTCAGCTGAGCTTACCATCTTCAGTACGCGGAAGAGCTCCTCGCACTGCTATGAAATTCGAACAACTCCAGACTGGGGTTGATAGAGATTTTCACGGTCAGTTTTGCGATGCGGTCAACGAATATTGGTTCGTCCATCGAATTCCCCCTACCATATCGTGGACAGCTTTGCAAATTGCACTTGTGTGTATTTAGTAGTATCACAAATGACAACGACCACGGAGTTCACAGTTCTCTCAAATTCTCCAGATAGATGTAATATCATTCAACCAAAAGCAAGGCGATAGTATATTGACTAGTAGTAGATAATAGAGTAACACGAGAATCGATCAGTTGGAAAAAACTGGTATTCTTTTTTAATTAAAATAGAAAGTAAAGGTGAGCGATATGGATGAATGTCGTAAAAAGCTTTTCACACACATCCATATGATATAATGTCCTTGCAACCGTATTCCACATGAGGCGTATATTTTCACCTTCACACTGCTTTCAGTGTCCCGCCCTCCACTATACTCCTTCCAAATGAGCATCCACAAAACCGCCACACGAAAGTACTTGTTTGATTATTGTTTAAACATATCAGATCTGAGGAACTAGCGTATCAGTTCATCCTGTTTGGACAGGGAAATGACCGGGTTCTTGGTGATAATTCGATTATCTGTTTGGTCTTGTTTTCTGAACTTTCATCACACGTTTGCCTCTGAATTACCTTTTTAGGTTCTTCGTTTCGCAAATATTGCGGATTTCTATGGAATTTTATCTCTAATACTTTATTATTGTCACCCGACTGGGTCTACATTGACTAACTGTAAACTGAATAAAGTTCAATAAAGTGAAGTACGACATCAACGAAGATTGTAGGTGGTTAATTTAGGACTTTGTTACCACTCAGTCTTGTAGCCGGTTCACTCATCTCAAGTATTCAACTTTCTGAACCGCAGTATTGCTCTCATCTTTTTTCGTTTTCAGTTAAGTTGTTACTTATATTGCTGATTTTATAGTTACACTAAAAAATTGCCGATCCCATTCTCTTTGTTTTCCACTCTAGGCGAACCTTCCTCATGCTTATATTTCCGGTGACTGCGTTGAATGTATGGCCTGTTCGGATAATGTTGTTCGTGCGGGTCTGACTCCCAAATTTAAGGATGTGGACTGTCTACTGTCCATGTTGCAGTACGAGCCACGTACCCAAAACAAAGTTATATTTTCACCTAAGCGGCGCTTGATATACGCTCCCCATTCGGAAGTCACTGGTGGTCAAAGTGAATTACCAACAATCTTGACCTATGCCCCTCCAGTAGAAGAATTTGCTGTCGACCGCATATGGGTAAGTGGTGGTCGTTTAAACCTTACTTGATTCCTCCTGTTGCCTCTCGAACTGCTCATTCATTTTGTCTATTGTATTTGGTTTTGTCTACGAACAATGATATTCGATGAATTTAGTCGTGCGGGATGAGTGAACGAATTCAGTATGCAATGTTGCATACTGTCGGTTCCTAACACATGATGAAAACATGCACAGGTCTCAACTCTTTTCAGCCGTGCGTTTGTAAAACTTTGGCATTACATAGCCGGTCACTTTATAAGTATGTGTATATACGCGTGCATCAGGAGTTCTCGTATACCGAATAGTCAGATTTCCGGCTTCACTACTGCAGACAACCAATAGTTCGTACAATGGCTTCACAATCGGATGCAAAGCTTAAGACGTGTCCTCCGAAGCTGCAATACCAATTCAGGCTTCTAGCGGATTTTTTTCTGGATCGTGTCTATGGGGTGTTGAAAGTAAGGTAACGTTTTTACTTTTTTATCGGACAACAAATCTGCAACAATCACGCTTGCATTAGGGGCCTCAAAAACGACAAACCGCTAACTAATTACAATAGCTAAAAGAGTAACAGTGGATCACCATCAGCCTTGTAAACAGAATTCAGTAGAGAATCCCGGAAAGAAAAGCAATTTGTGGTGTTTGGTGTATAATTAGATTTGGATTCAGTTTTGTCGTCCGATGCAGACATTGCTATTTCTTGCTTTATTGATCAGAGTCAAACTCAAGGATTTACGGTGTGGCCCTGGCGAATTTTTAATCAGCGGCCGATATGCTTCCCGATCGGGTTCTATCACACCCCACACATCTGCTCATCATACCTACACACGTGTTCACACTCGTTGATTCAGTCATGTGACACACAACACACACGCACGCACACGTGACAATGCTTACCAGTCATGCAACGCCGACACGCACTAGGACAAGGC